GCTCCCCGCTTATGCAAATGAAGCCCGGGAAATTCAAATCCCGGGCTTCATTTGCAAGTGCGGTATGCCTACATTACCCCGCTAGTTCGAACTAGCGCGGTAGTGTAGACATACCCTCTGAGCAGGGGAGAGGAGCTGTAGGGAATGAAATTCATCCTGTTGCATCAGCCCCTTTTCTCCCGCACAACAAAATGATTGTGCCTCCCCGCTTATGCAAATGAAGCCCGGGAAATTCAAATCCCGGGCTTCATTTGCAAGTGCGGTATGCCTACATTACCCCGCTAGTTCGAACTAGCGCGGTAGTGTAGACATACCCTCTGAGCAGGGGAGAGGAGCTGTAGGGAATGAAATTCATCCTGTTGCATCAGCCCCTTTTCTCCCGCACAACAAAATGATTGTGCCTTAACTCAGGATCATTGTAATTAGTTTTGACCATGTTGTGGATTAATAACCAAAAAGGATTGAAAATCACAGACCTAGAGTCTGATTTGGTAAGTTACCAAGAAGAATATTTAATAACTCTGGTTTTTGAATTCAAGGATGATGTATAGTGTAGTGGAATATTTAATGAGAATCATTCTTTTTGAATCTGGAATGATTGTAAAGGAGAACCTTTCTAACTTGTACATGTGACTGGGAGACTCCTTGTTAACTACTATATTGTATAGTCTAAAATAAGTGAATCAAAGCAATAGTCCTTTGTTTTGACAGTTTACTTTCAATTATTTTATGAATGTAACTGTTTTTATAAACAGATGTAGTGGTTGAAAAACTAGTCTGAATAACTTAAGGCTTCACTGGGATACTTTTAATAAATCTTTGTAAAATAGAGAGTTTCACTTTTGCTTGTGGATTAGGAAATTTATCCTATATGCTGTTTTAGGAAAGCTGTGCTCAGAAGGTGATTCTTGCTTTATAAAATATACATTGTTAGACTAGCTCCTGTTTTCCCTTATAATTTATGGCATCATTTTGAACCATTGAAGTTAAAGGGAGTTTTACTTTTGGCTTAATGGACATGGGAAGATTATGTTTAGTTCATATTAAGTCCCTGCAATCCAGTGGAATGTCAGTAGCTTAGCTGGTTTCCTGATAGAAAGAATAGGAAAAGCAATAATAGCATGATGCTCTTTTTCTGGATTAAAAACAAATTGCATATGATAACAATTCTGTCATCCTTATGCATGACTGAATGAAAATGATTTTTTTTTCCCAGAGAGAATAGTAACAAATAGATCAGTAGAAACCAGGCTTTTCTAGAAGAACAAACCAAAACAGACTAGGGATGTTAAAAAGTAGATAATTGTATAACTGCTGAATATCTCTGTGGTTACATGGTTACACGCAGTGCTTTTTTTGTTTAAAAAAAAAAAAAGGTGCCGATACTCCAGGGGAAAAGTTTTTGAGAAAAAAAAAAAAAAAAAGCTGGGGTAGGGCCAGCATTTCCCTTTTAAGAGATGCGGCCCTTTTAAGACATGCAGCCCATCCAACTGTCGGACATTTACGTACAGAGGTGCTGGTACGCTCCGTTCTTTCGAGGTAATCTCTGACTGTATGTCACAAAAAAAAGCACTGGATATATTTAAAATAGGGCTAATCACTCTAGCCAGGATCGGGTAGGTATCATAGAACTCACTATTCAAAGAATTAAAGGCAAGTCTAAGCGAGAAATGAAAATTGTGAAACGCATAGGCCAGTCAGAAATCAAAATAAGAGCATTGCGAAAGAAGTAGCTCAAAGTAATAACAAAAATAATGTAAATATGCGTTGGGAGGGGATTGTGAAAGACAAAGGGGCTGTGCGCGCATGCAACAGCGACACACATAGGCCACAAGCGTCCTACTGTTGACTTTTCCACAAGTCAACAAGGTTCTCTCTACGCCAGTGTTTCCTAATTTTATTTGGCCACAGAACCCTTTTCAACTTGAAAGAATTTTGCAGAACCCCTAATAACAGTCTTATATATGGAGCTGAAAAAGTAGATCACAAATAAGTAAGGATAATAATAAACAAATGCTAAAGAAGGTCGTGAGATCGACGTTTAGTTTAATTGCACATATTTAAAACCAAAAGTCACATTTAATGTGTACAACATTTTTTAAATCATAAAATGTTATTGTAATGGAATTTTCTCGTGGAACCCTTATTTTCACTTTGCGGAACCCATTTGGGAAACACTGCTCTACGCAGCACAGCAGATGCGGTACTGAAATGTGGTTGATAGTTAGGGGGGCCTTGCAGATGAGCTGGGGGGAAAGAATCCTGCCACGAATGGGGCTACTGGGGGGGTGGCGAGGCTTAGAGTTCCTTCCTATGCAGCATCTTGAAGTGAGCTGCTGATGTTCTCTAATCTGAGCACGAGAGCTGGTTGCAAAATGGGCTTTGGACAGTTTTGACTAAATGGATCATTTAAAAAAAAATGTCCACTGAAAAGTTCAGTGGCTTGGTGGAAAACAAATTGAAAAGTGACCTTTCAATTCTGAAATGTTGCTATGGAGCCACATGGGAGTTTTACTTTGAGTACCTCCCGCTCCCATTCTCCTCCATCGGCTGCGTTCCCTGCTCTGATTACATCTCTTAGGTTGTATCAGGGGCACATGGCATGGTGAGGAGAAACAGTTGCATCATGGCCAGGGACTTTGATGCATCATGGGAGATGTAGTTCATCTGGGGAACCAGGCCTACAGAGAATGATGACCTAAAGCAGTGGTCTCCAACCTTTTTGAGCATGAGATCACTTGTTGAATTTAAGTGCAATGCAAGATCTACCTCAAATATAAATACCCTTTCCCCGCCTCCTTCCCACCCCTTCTCCAAGGCCCTTCCCCTGCTCACTCCATCCTCCCTCTCCTGCCCATCCTCACTCACTTTCCTCAGGCTGGAGCAGTGGGTTGGGGTGCAGAATCTGGTCTTGGATTAAGGGATCTGAAGTGTAAGAGAGGCTCTGATCTGCTCTTGAGGCAGGCTGTTGGGCTGCTGGAGGGGGTTCTAGGTGCAGGATCTGGGACAGCATTTGGATGTGGGGGTGCTTGGGGTTAGGGCAGGGACTTGGGGTGCAGAAGGGTGGTTCATGTCTAGGGTAGGAGTTTGAGATGTGGGCTCCAGCTGGGCACTGCTGGTGGCTCCTGGGTGGTGGTGCAGTGGAGCTAAGGTGGGCTCGCTCCTTCCCTGGGCCTGGACCACTCCCTAAAGCAGCCAGCAAACTCCCTCCCACGTCCTGCTGTGTCCCCTCTCCGCTCTGTGCAGAAAGGATGCAGAATTGGAGGGGGCATTTTGACATCAGCACCTCCTCTCTCTTCCCTGCCCTGCACAGAAAGCAGGAAGCTCCCCAGCGGGAGGGGCAGGAGATGAGCAGCAGTGTGGGGAAGGGGCATCTGAAGTACTGGCACTTGTTAGCCTCTTGGCCAGACTAGTCAGGATCACCTGTCAGAGGCTCCAAGATCTACCAGTAGATCCAGATCTACTGCTTGGTGACCACTGAGAGAAACCAAATGAAAATTCCCAAGAGGCACCATGGCCAACTATCTAAATGGAAATATTCACTTTTTTGAGCCATTTGGATTTTCTGGTGAAACACTGAACACTTTCTCTGAAGAGCAAGCACATTTCAAGGACAAATTTTCACTTTTCAGTATCCAATTTTCCATCAGTAAATGGTTTCAATGGAAAAAATTCCACCAGCCCTAGTGAGTGGCTCTATCACAGCTGAGAGAGCCTGGCCAGGATTTCTCTTGGATCCCACTGTCCCTTGCCTCAGCGGTTGATGCTGACGGACACCAGACTTTCCTCCCCACCTACGGGGCTGAGGCCACCTCTGCAGGGCTGCGAGGAGATGAGGGGCCATCAAACCCAGAACGCTACCACAGTCAGTTCAAAAAAGAATGAAATAAGTTCATGGAGGATAGGTCTGCCAATAGCTACTGGTTAAGATAGCCAGGGATGGAACTCCATGCTCTAGGGGCGTGTCTAGACTACATGCCTCCGTCGACGGAGGCATGTAGTCTAGACACGCCCCTAGAGCATGGAGTTCCATCCCTGGCTATCTTAACCAGTAGCTATTGGCAGACCTATCCTCCATGAACTTATTTCATTCTTTTTTGAACTGACTGTGGTAGCGTTCTGGGTTTGATGGCCCCTCATCTCCTCGCAGCCCTGCAGAGGTGGCCTCAGCCCCGTAGGTGGGGAGGAAAGTCTGGTGTCCGTCAGCATCAACCGCTGAGGCAAGGGACAGTGGGATCCAAGAGAAATCCTGGCCAGGCTCTCTCAGCTGTGATAGAGCCACTCACTAGGGCTGGTGGAATTTTTTCCATTGAAACCATTTACTGATGGAAAATTGGATACTGAAAAGTGAAAATTTGTCCTTGAAATGTGCTTGCTCTTCAGAGAAAGTGTTGCGATTATTTTAATCGCGGCTTCATTTCCCTCTGCCGATCTGGCTAATCTACATGCCTCCGTCGACGGAGGCATGTAGTTTAGACGTACCCTAGGTGTCCCTAGCCGTAGATTGCCTGGAGCTTGAAGGGGGTGATGGATGGATCAGTCCGTGATTGCCTTTCCTGTTCATTCCCTCTGGAGCACCTGACATTGGCCACTGCTGGAGAACAGGACACTGGTCTATATGGACTATTGGTGTGACCCAGTATGGCCGTTCTTCTGTTCTCTTGTGAATTGAATGTGCCCAGCCAAGCTGCGCTGTACCAGAGAGAGGGTTAATGGTTTTTCCCCCTCCTCCTGTGACAGGACCAGGGTGAGTTGGCTCTGCATCTGGCTGTGCGTTATGCAGACAAGTCCTCCCTCCCGCTGGTGGACTTCATCATTCAAAATGGGTAAGCTTCCCCCAGGGAGGAGGGCAGCATCCTGGCATGGCAGTGTATCAGGTCTCACAAGCAAAGTGGGCGTGGGCCTGGTCAACACAGGGATGGGAGGCTCCACGAAAAATCCATGTGACTTAAGAGTTCTCCTGCCCTGAGACCAACTGGGCTGCTGAAAGTGCATTCTCACATGGGGCCTGGCCTTCGTCAGGGGCGTTAGAAGGGGATTCATGAGACCGCTGGTGGGATTTGCAGCTGACACTAAAATGGGGGGAATTGCGAGCTTTAGTCTAGAGGGAACAAGAGAGGTTGGAAACTGGGGCAGAAACTAACAAGGAGATTTGACTTGTAACACTACACGGAGAGGAAACTGATCCCAAAGGCAGATGATGATAATGCAGGGGAGGAAGAGATCCCTGGGAATGGGGGATATGAAGCGGGAAGAAAGACCTAGACTGGCCTGTTTGCGGCCATAAGATCTATCCAATAGGCTGGCCCATGTAATTATGGGCTGGCTCCGTGGCCATGTCATACTATGGAGCACAGAGGTAATTGCTCTCCATGTGATTCCAAAAAGACCCTGGCAGGAATACTGTGTTCTGAGCCCCCCGTTCACAGCAAGAGAAGGACAAAGCCGGAGTAGGAGGGATTTGGAGAAAAACAGCCTTGTCATGAGTTGAGGAGGGAGAAAGGACTGTCAGCATTGTCCCCCTGCAAGGGAACACAATTTCTCTGCTTTGACTGGCCCTGCAAGGATCTCAAAATCAAAGAATCCTAGGGCTGGAAGAGACCTCAGAAGGTCATCAAGTCCAGCCCCTTGCCCAAGGTAGGACCAACCCCAACTAAGTCAACCCAGCCAGGGCTTTAAGCCAAGATTTAAAAACCTCTAGGGATGGAGATTCCACCACCTCCCTAGGTAACCCATCCCAGTGCTTCACTGCCCTCCTAGTGAAATAGTTGTTCCTAATGTCCACCTAGACGTCCCCCACTGTCACTGATTCTCCCTTTCCTCACACGAGGCAGATCAGGAGACTTCCCCTCCACCCCCCAATTTTAGCAATGGGGAAACTGAGGCACAGACTGGGGACATGACTTACCCAAGTCGAACGGGGTCCCTGGCAAGGTTGGGAACAGAACCCGCATCTTCTGATGCCCAAACCCCAGCTAGGCAGCGCTGTCTTACTGCTGGCAGATGTTTGAGGCAGTTCTTCACTGCCGCCTGCTTCTTCAACCGCCTTTGCCTTGCTGCGCAGGGGGAACCTGGACAGAGCGACTCAGGATGGGAACACGGCTCTGCACTACAGCGCTCAGTATAACCAGCCCAACTGCCTCAAACTGCTGCTGAAAGGAAAAGCGGCCACAAACACAGGTAGGGAGCGTGGGGCAGACGAGGCAGAGTGCCCGGTCAGAGGGGAAAGCCAGGCCATGCTTCTCTCCTGTAGAATTGTGGTGGGAGGAGGAAAGTCAGAACAGATTTTAAAATGCGGCTAATAGGATTCCTCTCCTCCCCCAAACTATGGAAGAGCAAGGAGGCCTGCCAATGTATAGGTATTTCTCTGGCTCCCGTTACTGTTGTATCTGAGTGCCTCACAATCTTTAATATTAATCACCCTCACAACAGCTCTGTGAGCTGGGGAAGTCCTAATATTTTCATTTTACAAACAGGGAAACTGAGGCACAAAGCAGCTTGGTGATAGAATAGTTCTTGTGTCTCATGACTCCCAGTCCAGTGCCCTATCCAATGCAATGACTCCTTGTTTTTGTTCTAACCGCTTATGCATAATCCTTCTCTACACATTAGAACCAAGAAAAACTGGTTGTATGTGTGTGTGTAACGGGAGAGCCAACACATTTGCCACCATTGTGGATTTCACAACACCTAGTCACAGCCAGTTTTGGAGCATTTATTAGTTTTTAAACTTTTAATTGGCTTAAATCACTGTAAAACCTTTAACGACTGTTTGTTGTGCCACGATTGGTCTCAGAGTGTGGTGTTCTGAATTGAACATGTCCTTTTCAATCAGTTCCTCATTTAATTACACCACTGATCTAATGTCATTATTCCCGATTAATCACTTTGCCTTTAATTAATGCCATTCTGACAATGCTTTTCACTTTAGTCAATAGAATCAACTTAGGAAAATTCCTTAAATGTTTCTATTCCCCTTCAGCTTCAGTTTTTAATTTGGTTTCTTTTTTAATCATTGATTCAACTAGTAGTTAATGAGCAAGCGGCTTGCTTAATAGAGTGTGCTGATCTGGCGAGCTGTAATCTGTTTGGCTGTGTCTTCACTTCAATTAGCTGAGGCTATTCCTTGGGTGTTATCCTAGACCCCCCCTCCCCTATACGCACACAACCCTCTGACCTGCGTAGCTTTACACCCTGGGTTGCTGGCCCTCCTGAGGTGGGTTAACCCAAGTCCTGCTTTCCCTCAGGCTGGTGGGGGACGTATGGATTCTGTCTAAACTCAGGAGTGCTAATAGCCCTCCAATGCCTTCTGACAGCTCCCCCCCCCATGCCTGGAAGGGCAGACGAGTTCTCCTACAGAGTGGCTCTGTTTATTGCAGCACAGAGAACCATCGGCTGTGCCCCCAGAAGTCCTAGGGAGCATCAACTCCACAGGGAGTCTCAGAGCCCAGGTCAACTGACTGGAGCTCATGCCAGGGGGTACAAATAGAAGGGCAGCCTTTCTCCCTGGGGCTGGAGCTCAAGCTCTAAGACCGTGCCCCCTTGCTGGGTCCTCCCAGAGCCTGAGCCTTTACGTCTACGCTGCGGTTGTATTGCCCCATGAGAGGGAGTCAGCACACCTGGGCCAGGCCGGGGGTCTTTTTTTGCAGTATTGACACCCAGGAACTCAGGCCAGGCTCCTGGTTTAACTCGCCTACGGAGACTTCCCCTCCACCCCCCAATTTTAGCAATGGGGAAACTGAGGCACAGACTGGGGACATGACTTACCCAAGTCGAACGGGGTCCCTGGCAAGGTTGGGAACAGAACCCGCATCTTCTGATGCCCAAACCCCAGCTAGGCAGCGCTGTCTTACTGCTGGCAGATGTTTGAGGCAGTTCTTCACTGCCGCCTGCTTCTTCAACCGCCTTTGCCTTGCTGCGCAGGGGGAACCTGGACAGAGCGACTCAGGATGGGAACACGGCTCTGCACTACAGCGCTCAGTATAACCAGCCCAACTGCCTCAAACTGCTGCTGAAAGGAAAAGCGGCCACAAACACAGGTAGGGAGCGTGGGGCAGACGAGGCAGAGTGCCCGGTCAGAGGGGAAAGCCAGGCCATGCTTCTCTCCTGTAGAATTGTGGTGGGAGGAGGAAAGTCAGAACAGATTTTAAAATGCGGCTAATAGGATTCCTCTCCTCCCCCAAACTATGGAAGAGCAAGGAGGCCTGCCAATGTATAGGTATTTCTCTGGCTCCCGTTACTGTTGTATCTGAGTGCCTCACAATCTTTAATATTAATCACCCTCACAACAGCTCTGTGAGCTGGGGAAGTCCTAATATTTTCATTTTACAAACAGGGAAACTGAGGCACAAAGCAGCTTGGTGATAGAATAGTTCTTGTGTCTCATGACTCCCAGTCCAGTGCCCTATCCAATGCAATGACTCCTTGTTTTTGTTCTAACCGCTTATGCATAATCCTTCTCTACACATTAGAACCAAGAAAAACTGGTTGTATGTGTGTGTGTGTAACGGGAGAGCCAACACATTTGCCACCATTGTGGATTTCACAACACCTAGTCACAGCCAGTTTTGGAGCATTTATTAGTTTTTAAACTTTTAATTGGCTTAAATCACTGTAAAACCTTTAACGACTGTTTGTTGTGCCACGATTGGTCTCAGAGTGTGGTGTTCTGAATTGAACATGTCCTTTTCAATCAGTTCCTCATTTAATTACACCACTGATCTAATGTCATTATTCCCGATTAATCACTTTGCCTTTAATTAATGCCATTCTGACAATGCTTTTCACTTTAGTCAATAGAATCAACTTAGGAAAATTCCTTAAATGTTTCTATTCCCCTTCAGCTTCAGTTTTTAATTTGGTTTCTTTTTTAATCATTGATTCAACTAGTAGTTAATGAGCAAGCGGCTTGCTTAATAGAGTGTGCTGATCTGGCGAGCTGTAATCTGTTTGGCTGTGTCTTCACTTCAATTAGCTGAGGCTATTCCTTGGGTGTTATCCTAGACCCCCCCTCCCCTATACGCACACAACCCTCTGACCTGCGTAGCTTTACACCCTGGGTTGCTGGCCCTCCTGAGGTGGGTTAACCCAAGTCCTGCTTTCCCTCAGGCTGGTGGGGGACGTATGGATTCTGTCTAAACTCAGGAGTGCTAATAGCCCTCCAATGCCTTCTGACAGCTCCCCCCCCCATGCCTGGAAGGGCAGACGAGTTCTCCTACAGAGTGGCTCTGTTTATTGCAGCACAGAGAACCATCGGCTGTGCCCCCAGAAGTCCTAGGGAGCATCAACTCCACAGGGAGTCTCAGAGCCCAGGTCAACTGACTGGAGCTCATGCCAGGGGGTACAAATAGAAGGGCAGCCTTTCTCCCTGGGGCTGGAGCTCAAGCTCTAAGACCGTGCCCCCTTACTGGGTCCTCCCAGAGCCTGAGCCTTTACGTCTACGCTGCGGTTGTATTGCCCCATGAGAGGGAGTCAGCACACCTGGGCCAGGCCGGGGGTCTTTTTTTGCAGTATTGACACCCAGGAACTCAGGCCAGGCTCCTGGTTTAACTCGCCTACACAAAGAAAGCAGGCAGGGAGCCTATATCCAATTCACATTTCAAGCCTCTATCTCGATTGGCTCTCCCGGCCCCTGGCCGTCACCTTTGCTAGGTACCTGAGTTAACCTCTAAGTCACTGGCTGCTGAGCAACATCCTCTTGTTGGTGACCGTGGCCACCCCTAGCTCAGGGTGCAGTGGCAGTGGGGTGTGGATCTGCTGCTTGCTGATCCACCTGGGGCACCCCTATGCACTTGGGGGGAGATCCCTGAATGGGTGGGAGCGAGGGGTTCTCGAAGGGGCTGATAATGCAGACCTGGCCTCGTCTCCCCCACCCAGTGAATGCTGCAGGCGAGACGGCCCTGGATGTGGCAAGGAGGCACAAACACACCGAGTGCGAAGAGCTGGTAGGTCGAGGGGGGAAGAAGATCCCTGGGGCCAGGGTGGGGGCAGGCACACTGGGGTGAGGCCCTTATCCAGGGCAGAGGTGGGAGGAAGCAGGGTGGCTTGGAGAGCCCGGCTGACTCCTGCCGTGGGGCAGAGAGGGTGGGTACCGTGCTGCGGGTTGGTGTGGGTTTGGGGCATGCAGGATGGAAGCAGAATCTCCTCCTCATGGCCCACATTTCTGGCAGCTTGAGCAGGCGCAAGCTGGGAAGCTAAACCTGCAGGTGCCCTTGGACTACGACTGGGAGGTCCCTCAGGAATACACCTACGACAGCGAGGACGACCAGGAGGAGAAGGTACCGCTCCCCTCAGTGGCATGTATGTGTCCCTGGAGTCCACTGGGCCAGGGTTCTCTGAGGGGCAGAGGCTCTTTGGCCTGTCCCAGGGCTGCCTTCCCATAGGAGCCTGCAGGACTCCTCCCCCCTTGTCTGTCCTCAGGCACCCAGCACGGAGAATCTCCTTGCTATCTCCTGCCTTTAGCGTGAGGGGATCTTGCTTGGTAACTAGGTGTCTGCTCTCCTAATGCCACCAGCCACCCAAGCTTTCCCCTCCGGGCTCTTTGCCTGGCAGGTCAGCAAGAGGAGCACCCCTCTCCGCTGGCTGTTCCCCTGTGATCACTGGCTGCTGAGGCTGGCTGCTCGCTGGAGTACCAGATGGAGCGAGCCCTAGTTTCACCTTAAACCGCTGCTCCTGTATCACTCGCACAGCTTGTCAGGGAACGCAAGAAGGTTTATCTGAGAGAGAATGGAAATTCCCCTGGAAAGGAGAGCGAGCGAGAGAAACAAGTGATTACCACGCAAACCAAAATCCATGCGCGTGAACGAGGGCCGTCACTTTTAAAGAGTTCCCTTTCCTAGCTAATAAAGGAACGTCCCCTTCCTCCACCCCGTCCACAGCCCAGCCTGTTGCAGAACTGGCTGGGTTCATGGGAACCAGGATCCAGATGTTCACGAACACCAGCCGAGATCTCTGGCCTGGCACAGCAATGTGCAGGACCAAGCGCCGAGAAGGAACCTTGCTCATGGATGGGGGGGAAGGCAAAGGGCTGGAGAAGCCTGGCTTCAGGAAGCCGTGAAAGCATTAAGCCCAGTGGTGGGGCGATGAGTTTGAATGCTTGGTGGGCACCCAGCTGCGGAGGGGGGCAGCTGTGGGGAAGGCCGCTGGGCAGCTGCAAGGCAGCCGTGATGTGTTTGTGTTTGCTTTGCCCCAATCTAGGTGAGCCCCCTGCAACGATCCTTTAAGTCCACGTCCTCTCCAACCACAGGCCAGCCTGCCCTCTTCCCCCAGAACCGGTGGAGCTGCTCTGGCATGGACATCAGCAACAAGACCTACGAGACCATCCTGGTTCCCTCCCGGCCCGTCCGGCAGCTGCAAGGCAGCCGTGATGTGTTTGTGTTTGCTTTGCCCCAATCTAGGTGAGCCCCCTGCAACGATCCTTTAAGTCCACGTCCTCTCCAACCACAGGCCAGCCTGCCCTCTTCCCCCAGAACCGGTGGAGCTGCTCTGGCATGGACATCAGCAACAAGACCTACGAGACCATCCTGGTTCCCTCCCGGCCCGTCCAGCGGCGGTCACACAGCGAGGAGATCCCTCCACCGCTGCCTGTCAAAAACCCGACCAGAGGGGGCTCCAGGACCAAACCGGGGCAGAGCCCAGCAGGTGAGCATGTCTCCCTCCGCCAGGCTGAGAGAGGGTGGAAGTGCTGGCCAGAGCAAAGCTTGAAGGACTCAGCATTTGGGACTGGCTGCTGCTTTGAGCCTCTCAGGACAGCAGATCTGGGCCAGGATCTCTTGAGGACAGGGTTTATCCACCAGCCAAACTTCTGGCTTTGCCACAGACCTGTGGGACTCGTGAGACCTGCTGGCCCGGGAAGGGTGGAGGCAGCCTGGGTGCTGTGACTCCACTCTCCTGATCAAGGGGCATTCAAAGACCAAGCAACGTCTCAATACAGCCGGCAGATGCAGGGAAAACTCTCTGCGGGGGCTTCTGGTTTCCTGATCTCCTGCTTCCTCCTTTCCAGATCGCCCAGAGCTCCCCCGTCAGGCCTCTGAGCCCCAGGCCTCCACACTATCAGAGGCACCTGCCCTCCGACACCTGTCCACATCCAGCGCTCCCAGCACCTTGGACAGCAGTGCATCCCGGCCGCTGTCCACCTCCCGGAGCCCCCCGGAAGCCAGACGCACTGTCTGTTGGGAAACCCACGCAGAGGCGGAGAGCGGCAG